TTTTTAAAAACTGAAATGACGCGTTTTCCCTAAAAACGACGTCGTTTTGGTCTTGTTTCCACCATACATTGTGAACACGAGTCCACTGCATAATTTGCCAATAGTTGTGGTGATCTGGACCATGGAAGTGACCTGGTCAAAATAATAGTAAGATAAGATAATATAATTACGATAATCTAATCTAATCTAACTCTATAATAAAGCAAGAAGTTTTGCCAATCATTGTTTCCCGCTCAATTGAAACTACGCCGTTTTGGGAGTGAAGATTATAGCCGTGGTTTTAATGCTGTTTACATTGAGTTGTTTCTATCTAGGAGGCTTAGCCGAAATTATTTTTGCTTTGTACAATAAATTTTTATTGCTTTGTAATACCAATGCAAGTATAGCCCGCTAATTAAATGTCTATTCATTTCCCAAGCATACATTGATAAAGTAACCTGCAAAAATAAAAATTCAAATCCTATGATCTTTGATTATAAATAAATGAGATAATAAAATTAAAATTCAAATAAAGACAACATTTAATAAAAGCTTTGATTTCCAATATTGTGGCTGTTCTTGAAAATTGTTCAAGAGCAGGCATGGAATATTTAACAGCCTATAAAAGGCTTCCTTCATAGAACTCTCTCGGCCAGATTTCACATTCCAGTAGCAGCCACAATATTGCATCAAATTTGTATCCTAGCATCATGACTTCCATGTTTGTTCCTGTCAAAAAAATCCAACCTGTACACAAGATGAGAGCAATAAGAGTATGAGATGTCAGCGTTCATTAAGTTCATGAAATTAGGGAAAGCAAGAGGTAATCCTATCTTATTATTTTTTTTTACAGCATTTTCTATCCTAAGCAATATCTATTTTTTTGTTACTGCATTTTCTTCCCTAAGCAATCTATAAAGTTATTCTTTTACTGCTCATTTCTTGCTTTCCCTGATGAAATTGCTTAGGGATGAGCATTATTATCCACCTACTGTCCCTGATGAGATTGTAAATACGTATAGCACCATTATTTTGGTGATAGATATGATTTTGAACTCTTTGAACTGCAACTTCTATATTGATACTTTTTGCTGGACTAATTCTGTACATCCAATAGGCAAGAGGAGCTCGGAGATGCTTGTGTAAGAACACATTAAGCTATTGACTGTTAATTATTCCTTTGTATAGTATACTAATCTGATGTTTTATGTTTAGGAAAATAAAGATGGTGCAAGAGGAAACACATTGCTGCAAATAGAGGTAAAATTCAAACCTAACTAATATATTATACTTATTTCAAATATTGCTACTACCTCTTATTGGAATATTCCTTTATCATTCTAACAAGTAGACATAGAAAAACAGGAAACACAATTTCTTATGTCAAAAAATGGTAAGAAACATTCCAATGATAACCCATTTCTCTTTGAGTATTTTAGGCAGAGGAGTTAGAGGACGGGGTTTGTGTAGGAATGGGTCATAAAATGCCTACAATGGATGTGAAAATTTTTCCTTTTCATAAAAACCCTAAACCCAACCTAAAATCAAACCGAAGCAATGAAAATGAAATTCAAGCAAAACATAATTTAAAATCATACCTTTTCCCTCTTTTTCAGTTCAGAATCCCTAGCTAGAAGCTCCTGCTGCTTTAAATCCTGAATTTATAGAAGCAACTAGCTGGATTGTTAAAACAATATTAACAATCTCAAATAAATTATGCAAAAAAAACATACAAATTCCTTGATTCCTGGAAAATAGTGATATTAGATTGTTATATCATTTGCCCCAACCTACAATAGGATAATTATTAAAAAGGAATTTTTATATAAAGCCATTAAATTAACAGATACTTATCTTCAATTTTTATTTTTTTATTTTTTTTTATTTTTATGTTGGCTACGTTTTCTAGCCGAAAGTATGTGCTAGGTTTTCTGATGTTGGCCCACTAATCTTATTCGGCCACTGAACATCGCGTTTTTGCATCGAAAAGGGGAGGAACAAAACAATCGTAGACGAGATCTGGACTGTCTGGGTGATAAGCAACCTGTATATTTGGGTAGAAGAAGGAAGAAGATCAAACCCGTAAGCTACATAAAAAGGAACATACTTGAGAAGAAGTGTTGTGTTTGAGGACTGGTATCGGTCATTCTGGAGGGAAGTTTGGAGTACAAGCCAATCCTGATCACAGGTAAGTTGGAGATGAAAACCCTAAGCGACATGCGATAGAATGAGAGCTGCGAAGATCGGAGTGGAAAATGAAGAAATGAAGGGGTCGTTTACTTCATCTCTCTGTTTTTCCATTTCTAGTTTTCCATTTTTCCATTTCTCCAGTTTTCCTTCTCCATTCTTCCAATTTTCCATTTCTCCATTCCTCTGTTTTCTATTTCTCCATTCCTCCAATTTTTTTAAAAAGATAATAATAAAACCAACAACAACAATAATAATAATAATAATAATAATAACAATAAGAATTTAATAATAATATTAACAATAATAATAATAATAATAATAATAATAATAATTTAATAATAATAATAATAATAATAATAATATCAATAATAATAATAATAATAATAATAATAATAGTGGCAATAATAATAATAATAATAATAATAATACTAATAATAATAGTAGTGAAAATAATAATAATAATAATAATAATAATAATAATAATAATAATTTTAATAATAATAACATTAACATTAACATTAATAATAATAATAATAATAATAATAGTGGCAATAATAATAATAATTTAATAAGAATTTATTAATAATATATGAAGAAGAAGCTTGAGAAGTTGAAGCGAAGGCACCAGCAGAGGAAGAATGAAAACATGAAGCAAAGGCGTGCTAGTCGGAATCAAACACGGGACGTCAGGATCAAGAAGTACTATTCACGCGTGTGTTTCCAATTCTCCATTTGGAGAAGTTGGTTTTGGTATTCTCCAAATTTCTTAAGAAAGTTGGAGATTGGAGATGGAATAAGCATTTGGAAGAAGATATTTGGTAAACAACTTCTCCAATTTTTATTTTTTTCACTTCTCAATTTCTCCATTTTTTGGAAAATTCTCCATTTTTCCAAGTTAGTAAACGACCCCGAAGTGTTTTGCGCATTTTAACGTAGTCTTAGGGACTGAGATACGGGTTGGCCATTAATCTCAGGTTTCGTGCTGGTAAGAAATATGTTGGGCTTAAAATTTTAAATTCTGTATATGTTTGGGTTTTAGGCAGAGTAAAAAATGTAAATGGGCTGAAAAGTGTGAAAAGAGTACATTTATTTGCGTTATTTGTATGATGAGTTTTTAATAATACAAATGAATCCTCCGTAATAAGTTACTCTAGAAATATAAAAATATATATATATGTATGTTTTTAAGTTATTTATATTATACTTTTTATATATGAATTTTAATAACATTAATAATTTTTGTTATAATTGTTAAAATAAAAATTTATATTTAATTATATAAGTTTAGGTCGTGTAATATAATTACTGGATTCACAGGTAAATTATGAATAGATCAAAGATGAAGTTTAGGATCTATGAACTTTTAGACAAATGGTATATTAAGCACTTGGGAGTTAAGAAAATTCTATAGAGGGTTTGATATGGCAATCGTAATAGTGTGGAAGTTAAGTATGTTGTTTGTTATTGAAGAATCTTGGTTGCTCAACTAAAACCTCCAAGAAACATAATAAGTAATTCTTTAATAATATTTGATTTTATAGTTCAGTTATTAGAAAAGAAATATATTTAACTTTAATAAAGAGAAAAATGTGATGTTTGTATTTAAATCGTATTCTTAAAGCATTATGATGTCACATTTTTTTATTATATATATGACTCACACGAGTGGAGTTGAATTATTTAATATTCTTAAGATCGTTGTTCATATTTAAAAAAATATTTAAGTTTGACAATATTCAAGTCATAAATAGAGAAAAAAATACAGATAAAACAATATATTGGGATCTCATTCTATGCTTAATTGATTATAGACAAACAAAAAATTGTGTAATTGTTTATTATTTGACAGTTTGTTAAACTTAATAGATTAACAATAACGAAGAGGTAATAATCTTCAAGGTCGCCCGTCTAAAAATTAAATGTAATGAATGTTCTATGATTTATTATATATTGTGAAATAAAATAATATTTACATTAAAATCATATTTTATATAAAAATATTTAATGTTATAATACAAAGTCTTAATTTATGAAAAAATAAATTATTTTAGTAAAGAAATAAAATTTGGTGTAGAATTTGATGTAATGGGTTGAAGATAGAAAAAGAAATGGTGTAAGAATATACAAAGAATATTCCTTATGGTGTAAACTCTGTCGCAGAATTTGGTGCAAGAGGGTTAAAGATAGCAATCATTATTGTGTGGATCATATTTTGTATGTTATAAAATAATGTACATTTAGTATAAAAATAATGTAATTTTAGAATATTAAAAATGTATTTTGTATTCTGAGAAATTACATTATTTGAATACTAAAAGTATATTATTTTTTATAATGTACATTCGTTACAAAAATAATGTACTTTTAATATATTAAAAATAAAAATGTATTTTCTTTTATGGTCCATACATCACTATGTGGAGCATGGTTCACACAATAATTTGCGTAGAAATAGTCTTAGGGTTAGGAGAAAACATTTTATTAATGATTTTATCTTAAGAATAGTGGTATCTTATGCCATGACAATAAACAAAATCTAAGGACAAACACTATCAAAAGTGAGATTGTTTTTAAAAAGGCATGTCTTTAACCATGTCCAAATGTATGTAGCTCTTTCAAGAGTTCGTAACCCAATGAGTTTTAATGTGGCAAAAATGTACCCTGTATACGTACGACTAAAAATATTGTGTACAAAAAAGTATTTAACAATGTGTAATAAAATTACAACGTTTATCATTTCAAATTTATTAGGTTTTCAAACGGTATATTTTTCTATCTAATTATATTATACTGTATATTCTATATATTATATTGAAGCCCTTGATCGAACTATGCGGGATTTGATGCGCTTCATAAATCCAAGGAGTTCTGATATGACATTCGGTGGTAAAACAGTTGTTTTGGGGGGCGATTTCAGGCAAATTTTACCAGTCATTCCAAAGGGTACTAGACCGGATATAGTTTGAGCGAGCATTAGCTCAACCTATCTCTGGAAATCCTGTAAAGTCCTAAGGCTGACTAAGAATCTACGTTTGAAAAGTGTTCAATCAGAAAACGAGTGCAAGGAGATCGAGGAATTTGCAAAATGGATAGCTAATATAGGTGACGGAATTATTGGGTGTCAACTTGATGGGGAGTCCGAGATTACTGTTCAAAAATATTTGTTGTTGAAGTGCGAAGATTACCCTATTGCTACAATTGTTGATAGCACTTTCCCTAATTTCCGACTGGGAATTGCTGATTTGTCATATCTTAATCATAGTGCAATTTTAGCTCCAACATTGGATGTGGTAGATGCCGTTAACCAATACATAAATGATCATAATCCGGCTGAGGGTAAGACATACTTGAGTTGGGATTCTGTGTGTAAGTCAGATGCCAATGTTGACATGTTAGCGGATTTGCACAATCTCGAATTCTTGAATGCCTTGAGATGTTCTGGAATACCAAATCATGCTTTGACATTGAAAGTTGGATCACCTGTTATGCTATTGCGAAATATTGATCACACACTAGGATTATGCAACGGTACAAGGTTAATTGTTACAAGGTTGGCTGACCATGTGTTGGAAGGCCAAATCATGTGCGGTACAAATGCAGGAACCAGAGTATTGATTCCTAGGATGTCACTTACACCATCAGATCCAAGATTGCCTTTCAAATTTCAAAGAAAGCAATTTCCTTTGATGCTATCCTATGCCATGACAATCAACAAAAGTCAAGGACAAACGCTTGCTAAAGTTGGGTTGTTGTTGAAAAAACCTGTCTTTAACCATGGACAACTATACGTAGCTGTTTCAAGAGTTAGTAACCCCAGGGGTTTGAAAATTTTGATTTGCGGGGAAAGTGTACCATGTTTTAGTACGACTAAAAATATTGTGTACAAAGAGTCTTCAATAATGTATAATAACATTCAACAATTAATTATTTAAAATTTAGTATTTTTTTAAATACTAGGTTTCTTATTATTATTATATTATTATACGTAATATAATATGTACTATATCGGTAGCCATGCATCACATTATTTCAACAATGACGTCTTCAATAATGTATAATAAAATTACTATATTCATCAATGTGTAATAAAATCACAACTTTTCATTTCACATTTTGTCAAGTTCAAATAACAATATTTTATACTGTATATATATCATACTATATATATAGCTGCGCATCGCGCGGGTGCACCTACTAGTGATCTATTAAAAGAAGGTAATTGACGCATTTATGAAAGGACAATCAAGTCAACCAATATCATCCCTTATCCTCTAAATATTATTCTCTTTCCTAAATCATCTCCTTGCCCCATTAATTATACCACTCTACAATAAATATTCAACTACTTTAAGGGAACCTAATTATCATATCCAGTAATACTTTCCTTGAAGACAGTAAATTTAACTTTACATGCACCGTCAAAACTGGTATGTGATTTTCACCTTGTGAAACTATTGTGATCATATATTTTTTTCTTTAATAATCTAACCGGAAATGTTGGCTTGTTGCAGACGGCCTGATGAGAATATGAATTGCCGTGTCGAAATAGAGTCCTAGTCTAACTCAAATAATATAGTCCTAATAGGCTCAAAGGTCACAAACCCGACAATGGAAATAAACCCCGATAAATATCATCATATGATTCATATCCCATGTCAATCACTGTTCGGATTTGGTTCTAACATACTACCAAAATAAGAGATTATCTCCCAAACTTCGAAAAGTAAAGTATTTTGCTAAGGTAATAAATCTCACTAAATCTCGGCCATTATTGTCTCTAATTCTGCCCATTCTGGATTTCTGGCCATTAAAGTCCCCCTCGACGGTCCAATGCCAAACATGCATTCTCTTCCACTACCCTTCATTGATATACAGTCTTGCCGTTGACTCTCTTCTTCTTTTTATTTTTTTCTCTCATTTATACATCTGCGAAGAGCAAGGCGACACCATTCGAAATTACCAGGCCTGCGTGTCGACAAAATCACTAAAAAATCGACAGATTAGAAGTAGGAATTAGTCGGCCTAAACATCAGGAGTGTTCAGCCGCAAACGTAGTCTGAAGTGGCTGTAATTTGTGATACTTATCTGTTAGTTGGCCCTTAGCTTGCGTTTCGGCCTCCGCCATCATCGTGAGTGCTTAAATCTTGCGCCATTGTCATTCGTCTCAGAAAAGAAATCTATTCTGGTCTTCCTTGTTGGGATTTGGAATTGGAAATAATGGAGATAACATCTAATCAGAGTGACTCTTCCAAGAAGAAGAAGAGACTACTGCTAATCTTTAACTGTATTATATTAACCATAGGCAATTCCGGCGGCCCTTTGATCACGCGCCTCTACTTTCTCGACGGAGGCAAAAGTGTATGGTTCTCCAGTTGGATGGAGACGGGCGGTTGGCCCATCAATTTAATCCCACTGGTTCTTACTTATATCCAGCGACGCAGAGCCGAAGGATCAAACGCAAAACTCGTCTTCATAACGCCTAGGATATTCATGAAGGCCGCCATCATCGGCGTCCTGACCGGAGTCGACGACTACGTCTACGCGTATGGGTTGTCGAAGCTCCCCGTCTCCACCACCGTTCTTCTCATCGCCACCCAGCTAGCCTTCACCGCCGGCTTCGCCCGCCTTCTAGTGAACCAGAAGTTCACCGCCGCCTCGGTGAACGCCATCGTGCTGCTCACAATCGGAGCCGGATGCTTGGCCATTGGCGCCAGCGGCGACCGCCCCGCAGGCGAGAGCGAAAAGGAGTATATCTTAGGGTTTGTATTGACGCTCACCGCCGCATGCTTGTACGGCTTCGTTCTGCCATGGATAGAGCTTACATACAGGACCGCGAAACAGGCGATTACGTATGCGTTAGTGTTGGAGATGCAACTGGTCATGTGTTTCTTCTCCACCTCTTTCTGTACAATCGGACTCCTCGTGAGCAAGGATTTCCAGGTATTCATTGAATTAAACAATCTCGTTTCTTCCATTACAGTTTTATCTTTATGCACACCAAGTGTTTGTCAAAATTCCTAAGAGACTATTTTTCTTATAAATGCAGACGATTCCAGACGAAGTAAGATCGTTTTCGTTAGGAGCGGGTAAGTATATTGCAGTGTGTGTTGGGAGTGCGGTTCTTTGGCAGTTGTTTTTCATGGGAGTTGTGGGTGTGAGCTGTTTCGGTTCGTCGTTGTTGTCGGGGATCTTAATCTCCGCATTAACTCCGGTGACGGAGGTTTTGGGCGTTTTGTTTTACCACGAAAAATTCCGAGGGGAGAAGGCTTTGTCTCTTGTCCTGTCTCTTTGGGGCTTCGTTTCTTACTTCTATGGCGAAATGCAGACTAGTGAGGAGGCCAAGGACCATGAATCTGAAGAGCTCAACCCTTCTCAAACTCTTCCTATTTAATATGTCCTCACGGCACAACGAAGGAGGGACAAATTATTTTGTGGTCCCGTATTAAAGATACACAATTTATATATGACTTGTATTGTATTCACAAATTTTCAAAATTTAGAAATACAATTTATATTTTAGAAGTTTGCAAATTTAATATTAAAATACATAGTTTAATACAAGGGTCTAAGCCTAGTTCATGATATAACAACTGTGAAAGAGTCTAATTCACAATGGCACAGCAAAGAGTATTCACTAGACAATCCCGGAGACCTAAAATTGCTTCGATTATATACATATCTGTGTAATGTGTATATACATCACCATCACATCACGTTTGGTTTACTGGTGGGATGAATTTGGTTTATGGCGGGATGAATTTTGAGGTAATAGGAATGTTATTCCATAATCTATTATTTGGTTCGCGAAAGGAAAAGAGGGAATTATGTTATGGTATTTGGTTGGGAAAATAAATAGAAATGAAATATTTTTTAAAAGATATAAATAACTTTATAAAAATATATGGTGGTGGAGTGGTAGTGGCGGTGGCCGTGGTAGTGATAATGGTGGGGATAGAGGGTAGTGATGGGGTGGTGGTGGTATTGGTGTTGGTGGTTGGGTGTTGATTATGATTAGAAAAGCATGATAGGTTATGTGCCGTTCATTTATCGTATTTGATCCGTTAATTGTCTATGTGTTGTCGTTAATTACGTTGAAAAGTGTCTAAGCATGGTTTCGGGTTCCACAATGGTTCCCGGGACGAAAAGTGGTGAAAAGAGTCAGTGGGGGGTAGGGGAAAAGTGGTGAAAAGTGGTGCTTTTAACTTAGGCTCAGGATAGCATGTAAGTTACCCGTGTCTAGCATGTATGCTGGACACGGGTCCATAGCATAACGATTGCATTTACTCTTTTACTCGGGTATTTTGGTTCGCGGAATAGAGATTTCTCAGCGTCCCTGTTACGCTCCATGCCGTTGGCGGTCTTGACTTCGGTGTGGCTTAGGTCTACCGTTGTGGCCTAATCAGAATCTGAATAGTAAAAGGTTTACACACCCAAGCTCAGACATCGCCCGACAAGTCTCAAACCACCGGTCTCCTACGTTCTCCGGAGAAGAAGACCCCGCTGTCCTAGAGGAGTGGATCCGGACTCTCGATAAGATTCTAGGGGTAGTAGAATGTCCGGAGGAACGCCGCGTGGAAATAGCCTCGTTCTACTTCGGACATGAGGCCGATCTCTGGTGGATCCACGAGGGACCCACCCGGTGGTGGGGGCTTGACGTTGCGAAGGGCCGCATCACTTAGTGCCTGCGCGACTTGTGTTAGTTGCTGTAGAGTTTGGGTCAAGGGGTCGTCAGTGGTGGGTTCCGGAGTCCTTGATTGCCTTCTGTTCCGCCATTAACAGGGACGCTGAGAAATCTCTATTCCGCGAACCAAAATACCCGAGTAAAAGAGTAAATGCAATCGTTATGCTATGGACCCGTGTCCAGCATACATGCTAGACACGGGTAACTTACATGCTAGACACGGGTAACTGTTATCTTTTTCTTATTATTATTTTTTTTTTTAATTTCAGACCGCTTCGTTATAGGTGTATATGTTCATAATTTTATTACTATATGTTAATAACTGTACGTTCATAACTCTATAACTGTACATTCATAACTCTATAACTGTACATTCATAACTCTATAACTGTACATTCATAACTCCATAACTGTAAATTTATAACTCCATAATTATACATTCATAATTTTCGAAGCTCTATGTTCACAATTTTAGAGTTCTATGTTCATAATTTTATCACTATATGTTCATAATTGTAAGTTCATAATGTTAGAGCTCTTTGTTCATAATTCGATCAATGACTGTACATTCATAATTCCATAACTGTAGATTCATAATCTTATAACTGTAGATTCATAACTCCATAACTGTACATTCATAACTCCATAACTGTACATTCATAATCTTCGAAGCTCTATATTCACAATTTTAAAGCTCCATGGTCATAATTTTATCACTATATGTTCATAATTGTAAGTTCATAATGTTAGAACTCTATGTTCATAATTTCATAATTGCATAACTGTACATTCATAACGGCATAACTGTACATTCATAATCCAAAAAAAATAATAATAACGCCATTAACGACAAAACACGCATGATTTTTTTTATTAAAAAACGACGTCGTTTTGGGTCCGTGTCCACAATTCATTGTGAACACGTGTCCAGGGCATAATTTGCCGAGTAAATGTAATATTATTACTTTTAATTGTAAAGTTGGCGCGATGGCCCAATTTGAAGCATATATTATTTGAAGCCCAACTAGGCCCATCACTAGTATAGTGTTTATTACTGCGTGGTCACTGAAACTTCATCATATGGCATAGATTAATTATTAAATTATTTCCGTGTTACTAAGATCATAGTCAACCTGTCACATGCTTTAGTGGTTCAATGCATGTGAATTTTTTTAAAATCAATCATGTTCTTTAATAATTTAAAAATTAAGACTAAATACGTACCAAGCGATCCAGCTTCCAGATAGTCAACTTAATTGGATGGCTTTATAATTTTTGATTTCTTCAGTTATCAATATTATAATGTTTGAGACTCCGCGTGTAAAAGCAAGTTAAGTGGATGATAATTATAACAAGATGTGACGGACTGACCCATTTAGAAGGTAAATATATTGTACATGAAGATAACATAAATCATGTGGTCCTCGTCCCGTCATGCAGCATCTATAGTTATAATATGTGGGGGTTCCAATGTTTCATTAATACGACAAAATATTGAAATTGATAGATATAATGTTTCATCTGAACTAAAAATTTAAGTTGATAGTCGGATTGCACACGTTCTTTCATGTGTGTTGACTACTTTTGATGGGCGTGGGCCGTAGTCTCATGACGCAGAAGTTCGAACTCATAACTTTCGGCATGGCTCTGATATCAAATTGAAGCATGCGTTCCATATCAACTAAAAGTTCAAACTTATAATTGGATTGCACATTTATGTTTGTGTATATTATATGCTCAACATATATAAGGTGGAATGGTCATATATATTATTTATTATTGTTAATGCGTGTACCTAACGCGGTTCAATATTGTTTGTTAAAGTAATAAAGACAATCTTATCATATTCAAGATTAAGTTAACACACTGGTATTAGTAAAATTATACCGCAATATCATTTATTTTTATTTTGAATAAGTAGAAAATTAGCACTTACTACTCAAGCATTTTCCTGTTTTTTTTTTTTTTTTTTTTTTTTTTTTGTTTTTTTTTTTGTCTCCAAAACAAAAAATTAGGTAAACTTCGCTCGTGTTGAATAACTCGCCAACCACATAGAATATGAATCTTGTGTCACTAACTCGACTGAGAAAGTACATGTTGATAAGAAGTGAACTTGTACATCATTTGACTATATAATTTATTTTGAACATACAAAATAAATGCATGCAAATACTTGAATTAGAAGTTGTTCAAGAGAAATTAGATTTTTTTTTTTAACTTGAATCATAAGTTGTTCAAGAGTAATTTTTGACATGCATGTAAATTTGTATAGAAATATATCAGCAGATTTTTTTCAATAATTGAGCAGTAACAGTTAAATGAGGATTATAAGTCAATGATGATAAATGATTGTCAACTTGGGAACTATAAATTCGCATGATTAGAATAAAAATAATGTTTTTTCCCTTTTGAGGGGGCAATACAACTCATTTACTTTTTAGAGGAATTAATATCAAAACTTATATTAGTAAAAGTAATATATTGGAATGTAAATATATATCATTATTTTAATTAGAATATATTCTTAATATATATATTTTTTTCTTCCGTTTCTACATATATACAAATATATAATCTAATCTAAAAACATAATAAGTGCCAATACAAGTTATGTCCTTGATTTTTGTCCCCTTTTTATATGCTAATAAATATATACATCATGCTTTAATTGTTGTACATTTGATTTGTATTGGACAAAATTACCCTTACACCGTTATAACACCGTTAGTATTTAATATGTCCACCAATCTTACCATACACCTACATCTATCATATCTTTTTCTTATTTTTAGTTATCATTTTATTAAAATTATCATATAACAATTAATTTAATTATAAATTATATTTTAATTAAATATTTATATGAATATTAAATTTTAATTATAAATAATATGTATATATATTATTTGTGTATACATATCAATATATCATATATGTGAATTTTAGCTTAGTATTATTTGTAAATTGTTATTATAATATATATATATATATATATATATATATATATATTGTTTTGATCAGTATATTCAAATATATGATAATTCAAAAGTATCATCACTTTAAGGAAATGTGAAATATAATTTTAACTAATTTTTAAAATTTTATTACTTAACAATATTTTAATATTGGACATAAGTTTTTGCACATCGCGTACAAAATGCTAGTATAATAATATATAGCCACATGCATGGATGCAGTCCGTCTGCCCATATTAATCTATTGCATCCATTCATATATATTCAACTCTACACATTACTTATCGTTCTTGCATATAAATCATCAATCTGCAAGCTAATTAAGGTTTCGAAATTTTTAATAATTCATCATATTATATCATTAATTAAACAACTAAGAATATATTATAGATAGAGACTGAGTGCAACGTGCGAAAACATATATATATATATATATATATATATATATATATATATATATTTCTCCGGCCGGTCGACCTAATCTCCATCATTGACCGCAGCTTATTACTTGCTTCTTTGCGGTATATGGATTCATACCAACAAAAATAAAATGCTTTCTTTTTTTTAATAATCAAAGAAATTCACAACTACTACTCAAAGGTATACACATTGTAAATTTAATTCTTAATAGCTCACAAATTACATATATAAATCACATTAGAAATATTCTGTGTTGCAAATTGTACGTTATAAATCATTTGTATTTAATTTGCAAATCAACAATAGTTATATCATGAACAGGAGTGCATGTCACAACATGCAGCCAAACACATTATATTCTTAATTTTTCCTTATATA